GACTAAACAGGCAGCTGACAGCTGCCTCCAGCTGATAAATCTGTTGGGGTTGGGGGGAGGGAAGGGACATGGGGAGGGAGAGATTGGGGCTGGGACAAGCTGCCCAGCTGGGGTGGAGGGCGTGTTACTTGGGGAGGCAGGCAGGGGGTACAGGGTGTGGCAGTGCTGGGAGTGGGGGCTCTGCCCTGCTGCTGGTTGTCCAGATTAGGGGCAGGATGCAGGCATGACTCGCTCCAGGCAGAAGGGGGCAAATGGCAACAGGGCATAGTCCCTTCTCCCAGTGCTGCCATGCCCGCAACCTGTGCCGCTTGTGCGAGCTGGCAAGCGGTGGCAGGGCAGAGCCCCCACTCCCAGTGCTGCCACTCCCATGACCTCTACCCCCTGTGCCAGCTGGCAATCGGTGATAGGGCAGAGCCCCCACTCCCAGTGCTGATGCAGGTAAAGCAGCACTGGGAGTGGGGGCTATGTCCTGCTGCTGCCTGGAGGGACCCCTGCCTGCATTGCACCCCCCACCCTGTGCCGGCTGGGCAAGTGGCAGCAAGGCAGAGCCCCTGCTGCTTCACCCGCTGGGGCAGAGGCAGGCACAGCCGCGGGAGAAGCCCCCATGGCTGCCCTGCCTGGCCCAGCCTCCTGCTACTTGTGGCAGAGCCCCACAAGGCAGTGGGGGTCCCCCTGCCCAGCACCCGCATGGCAGCTGTCGCATTGCATGGGTGCAGCATGGCTTAGCAGGGCACCACACGCTGTCTGGGAGCTGGGGTGGCTCCAGCAGTCATCCAGCCCCTGGCAGTGCTCAGCCCCAGCCACCCCAGCTCTCAGGCAGCATGCAGCACCCTGCCAAGCAACACTGCACCTCTGTCACGGGGCAGCTGATGCGCAGGTGCTGGGGCGGGGGGGTGGGATCCCTGCTGCCCCTCACTGCCCGGTACTGTGCATGGGGGCTCTGCCAGGAGTGTCCAGAGGCCCCAATTGCTGCTTCTGCAGCGGGTGAGTTAAAAAAAACAAAACAAAACAAAAAAACAACCCAAAACCCCCCAACCAAACAAACCCATAAAGTGCTGGGACTAGGCTGGGGCTGGGCAGGGCAGCCATGGGTGCTTCTCCGGTGGGCCTCCCCTGCCCTGCCCGGGGAGAGGTAGGCACAGGCAGAGGAGCCACGGCAGAACCTGCAGCCGCCTGGCTGTGCCTGCCTCTCCCCAGCCAATCCGAACCACCGAATCTCTTCAAATTGGTGCCGAATCTTCCAAAGCTGATTCAGCCAAATCAATTCAGGACAGTGATCCGAATCAAATACTTCCCTATTTGCGCAGGCCTAGTACCCAGTGTGCACTATGAGCCTGTGCTGGCTGCATGGAAAACTTCAGGTTATTCTGCACTTATACTTACCTCAACTTCTTTGATGGTCAAAAATACTTTTTTTTAAACTCTGTGTTCTGGCCTCTCCCATGATTTCCTTTTGCTGAGCTGGGAAATCCTTTTGGAAAGTCTTTGGACAGAGGTGGGAGTGGCCTGAGGGTGAAGCTAACATACAGAGGACACGGTACAGCAGAAACCAGATCTTTAATCTGCAACAAATTGCTGAATTAAGAACGAGCCACTCAGCTGTTTGCTGAGGTTTTTGTTTCAAAGGGGACTACTTCTGTGCTCAGGTGGAGCTTGTTAAGGATCCTCAGCAGCTGTTGGTTGCAGCTGCATATAAGCCCAGCTAGTTTGCTAACCCACATCTTTTCGGGGTTGCAAGGGACCTAACTCTGCAGGCTATCTAGATTCTACTGTATTTTTATTGTTTTTTTCCAGTTAGCTCTTACACTGCTGTCCACAGAACCATTTGAGGAGGGAGACATAATTGGTGACTCCGGCCAGCATTAGCGACTTGCTGTTCCCTAAAATGGGGCTTGCTCCGTATGTGAACACATGGGGTACTTCCTTCCAGATGAACGCTTCCTAAAGTCGCCTGTTTTCTGTCTAGTGCACTGGCTCTCAACCTTAGGCCTAAGGCACCCCTAAAGTGACTTAAGGCACCCCTCAGAAAATGCTGTGGCTTAGTTTTTTACTGATTTATTTATTTATTTATTTTTTTGGTGGTATAACAAAAAAAAAAATAGAGCAATTTGCAGGCTCTGAGCATAGGCGCTGGGAGAAAATATTATTTGGGGGGCTGGAGGAGTGTGCGGTGGGGGCGCTGGGTGCGACACTGCGGTGGCAGGGTGCATTGGTGGCACTGGAGTAGTGGAGCTGAGCATGTGTGTGGCGCTGGCTTGGCTACACACAGAGTGGCTCTGGGTGCTGTGGGACGGCAGTACCGTGGTGCTGCTGCTGTCGTCGCCTGCCGTGAAATTAGTTTGGGGGGGGGCTAAGCCCTGTTTGCCCCGGCCTTCTGTGCAATATCGGGTCAGTGTTTTAACACTATGGATTCTTACTGAAATCTCTGGGTTTATCTTGTCCATCATGGTTGCACACCTCACAGCGCTAAATATTGTGTGGCACCTTGTGACACCCTTGAAACGACCTCAAGGCACGCTGGCTGAGCATTTCTTGTCTAGTGCAGTGGTGCTCAGCCTTTTTTTTTTGTTCAGCGAACTGGATGGGCAATGCTTGTTCCCCTCGCGGACCAGATCCAGCCAGTGGACCCAATCTGGTGCCCATGGTAGGCTCAGCAGGGTGCCATTTAGCTGCGCAGAGGGGAAACAGGGCAGCCCAGCCCTGATCCAGCCACGGCAGGGTAGGGGGCTTGGCCTGGCTCCGGCCTGGCGGGAGGGGGGCCATGATCCAGCCCCAGTGGGAGGAAGTGAATGTGGCCCAGCTCCAACCTCTCTGGGTAGGAGGAAAGGGTAGAGGGGATGGCCCAGCCCTGAACCAGCTGCACAGTAGGGAGGATGTGTGGTCCAGCCCCACGGGGGGTGGAGGAAGAAGGGTGAATGGGTGGGCTGCGCAGGGACGAGGGTATGGCTCAGCTCCAGTTGGCTGTGGGGGAAGGGGGTTATGGGCTGTCTCTGACCCGCTGTGTTGGGGCTTGGGACTGGCAGTGGGGAGGGGTGTCAGTGTTAACTGCAGGCTGCATTTGGCCCAGGGACCGGAAGATGAGCACCCTGGTCTAGTGCATCGGTTGAAAGGAGCACTTGGAGGCTCTGCACAAGGTCTCGTTATGCTATGTGATGTATAGTGGTGTACAAAAGAGGTAGACTGCCTGAAAAATCTTGGACACCAGAGTTAAGAGGACTGGGAGGAAAAGTGTTTAGGGGAAATATGAATGCCCCAATTCAACCCTTGTTTCAGGCATCCGTTATGCTTGCTCTTTTCCTGGTACCTGCGTCTTGTATGCTTTCCACTGCTAAATGATAGAAACCACCTTAGCTTAAACCATGGATCCACATAAGTGCTTTCAGTGAAACTTTAATTTAATGCAAACACGCATGAAATTCCCTAGTGGTGTTACCCAAATATTGCACCATACTTGTTAATGGACAAGAACCTGAGAAGAAAACAAATCTGCATTGTCGTTTATGCTTAGAAAGAACAAGACATAGCGAAAAATAAATTAACTTCTGTTACCATTTAGTGACCCTGGGTGCTAACAACAATAGATGGGCAATTTGGGGGCAGGTGGACGGGGGGGACGGGACAAACAAAAACCCAGGTAGTCTTTTAATCACAGTTCATGCAACTAAGTCTGAGGTTTTATTTAAGACATGCCTGTTTTAAACCCTAAACAAGTTCAGGACTTTTTACTGGTCTTTAACAAGTCAGAACATGTTCAGTTTTTGGGTGATTGTAATCATGCATTAGGCAAAATGAACTCTTGACTGTTCAAAACGAGCTGATTTGGTATTAAAATGTTCTTTGTCTATAAGCTTACTACTCAAGAAGATGAAGTGGCTTGGGACTAGAATTTGACATGATTTGCAATTATGCCTGGTTTTCTGTTTCTTTCCAAAACTTTATAATCATTGCTGACATTTGATTTCTTATACCTGTATCACTAAAAGACCCAACAGTTGCATTATATTGCAGGGTTAAAGAACACAAAGCCAGTGCTGGAAGCAATCAGCTTCCCAAATTACTAGCTAAACACAACCTAGTCCAAGAGAATAGACTTGCAGGTCATATTTGCTGCAGCCAGTGGTTAAAATTCAGGTTCTCCGAGTGTTCTTCCTCCTAGTCCCTAGCTGCAGATATAGAGACTGTTTGCAGAAGCCTGTCAGCTGTTCAGGATGTTGCATGATGTTGTATCTCTATACCAAGTCCACATTTGTTCCTGGGCACAATTCGGAGAGCAGACTTGATCTCCAGAGCATGGTCTGTCATCCAAGATGATGTAATTCGCACCCCTGTTGGGAGCAGGCGTGCGCTGGACACATCTGGAGAAGGATTTGAGCTCAATTCCAATTTTGTAAATGGCAAGGAAGTAATTTATTACTGAAAAGTTAACTCCCTTTTTGTTTTTATCCCTTCCCTTTCTCCCCTTATAAAGGAATGTTGGTCATTAACTATTATAACATTTAATATTCTTATCTGCCATGCCTTTAGCAACTGAAAAATAAATGAGGTTCTATCGAGTTGTCAGCATCTGCATTTCCATTTCCTCTCCTTTCCTTTCTCTTAAATGAATTCCATGCTGGGACATCTGCCTTCTTAACACTGGTGTTTTTTAGTATTCATACGAACCAAAGACAGACTATTCCTGTCCATTTATCTGCCTTGGGTTGTGTTTTCTAAGTCAAGTTAGTGGTTGAGGATCTGTAGGACACTCCTCACCACCTCAGGTAAAAATGAGGGCTTTCAAGTTACGCTGAAATGTTTTGGGTAATTCCAGTGCTTCCCCTTCCGAGTGGAGAGGTAAAGATTTTTATTGTCTGTGGGTTTGGAAACACTTGCTGATCCCCCTCACCCCAAGCTGCTTTGATTTCAGCACAAGGAGACCATATATTAGCACTTAATTGTGTAGAATAATCCCGTCTAGTGTTAAGCGAAAGAACTCTGTCAACTTTTTGTCTTCTTTCTAGGGTCTGTCCTGGATATTATAAAGCACATTGTGGCAAAAGGAGAGCACAAGAATGGAGTCCTGGATGAACCTTGTATCGCTACGATTCTTAGGGAGGTGCTGGAGGGGCTGGAATACCTGCATAAGAACGGACAAATCCATAGGTACTTTTTTCCTTTCCATTTACACAAGTCCTTTCTATTACTGTGGAAGTGTCCACATCTGGAGTTATGTGGCAAGAGTGTTTGACGTGCAACTTAACTGGTTGTAAAAATGTATAAAGGGCTTGGCAGAAAGTAGGGAGATGGAAAAAATCCAGCGTGCCAAGGCAAAAGGGTATTGTTGAAATAGCATTTCCATAGTCTAGTTTGAGGGACAAGGAGAAATGATGTGGAACATTTGAGCACAAGAACCTGTTAAGTTGGAAACGTTGAATACTTGAGTTAAGAAATGCATTAAGGTTGGTTGTAGAATCTGAATTTAACTCCCTTCGTGCATAGGTATCATCATCATACAACACCAGTGCAGATAATATCTTCAGAGATTTGAGCTGTTAATGTCTAGCAAGCTGTCTACTAAGCATGTGGAAATAATGCTTAGTAGACAGCATTATTTCCACATGAGGAAAATAATGAGGGTTTTTAAATTTTTTGTAGGCTTAAAGTGGCCAAATTTGGGCTGACTTTTTTTTTTTTTTCCTCTCCTGTATGCCTTTGGACACCTCAGCTATTCAAAGCCAGGAATTTCATTTCACTGCAGTGAAACCTAATTCCTCCTAGTCTCATTCTTGGAAACAGCTAAGCTGTTGTGGCAAAAATATTTTTTTTGTAGGGGAAAAACATTCAGCTTGAGACAAACCCTGCCATGGCAAGCTTCCACCAAAATGGTTAAAATGTTAGCAGTGGAAAATAGGATCTTAATATAGATGTTGGGCAGTGTTAACAAGCACCATTGTCTGCCCTACCTATAAGTAAAAAAAAAATAAAAAAATAAAAAATTGCAATTTTGATGCATTTCAGTCTTATTTCGTATCATGCGTAGAAATGATTAAAGAAGTACAGGGTAACTTTCTCTCTCCCTGTAAACAAAGGATTAAAGGAAAACTCCTTGTGGTCTCTCATCTCCCTTTTTTTGTGATGGTCCAGTGGAGCTCTGTCTGGGCTTCAGGGCTGCTCCTGGTCATAGTTAGGTCAGCAAACATCTTACCCTCTCTTGGGGTTTAGGCTTCCATTTTCTTTAGAAACGGAATGAGGAGAGCATTAAGCGAATGTAACTTGCATTTGAAGACAATGAAATTATCTTCAATACACACTGAAAATAGTATATGAAGTTAGCAGCAGCAGCGATGCTCCAACTTCAGCAAACCATCTATGTCGGAAAGTGCACAGGGTCATGGTGTTGCTGCTTTTGAGGCATGATACTTTCTTTTTACGTCAGCTGGTAGCAAAGAGTTTATCAGAACTATCACTTGTATCAAAGAAGTACAAACATGGTAATTTATTCTACCCCACCAAATTATCTCTGCAAACTACTCTTTTGGTCAAATCGGCACCAGAACCAAAGAGCAATCCTGGAGTCCATACCTCGCACCATGAAAGAAAACTGTCCGGGTACAATTAGGAATGTAGTATGGGTAGAATGAATGCAGTTATCGTGTCTGAGTTGGACATTAGGCTTTTGGTAGAGCCTGGATCACTCTTTTAAACTCAGACTGATTTTTACGGGGGCTCGGGACCAGAGAAGGAAGAAGGCCCTGCTGTAGGTCTGCAGTAAGGACACGGGCTTACGTCCAGTAGCAGCACCTCTGGCTGTTCTTGATTGATGCCACACCTAATAATGTACCTTTCTGCCTGAGTGGGGGAAGCAAGGTACCACCTGGAAACCCTGCGTAGGGAAATCCTGCTGCTGACTCTTGCCCTGCAAACACTAGTCAGGGAGTTGGTGTTGCTTCCAGCTGAGGTGCTCGACCCTTGCTGCATGTAATAGAGCATGTCTGCTTTGCGCAGGGAGGCTCCTTGGACGGCCCTTTTTGGGGGGGGGAGGGGGGAGCCAAAAATGTGGTGATGGCTTCAGTGCTGTTTCCTTGTGTTTTTTATATTCTGTTTCTTATTAGCCCAAGCTAGGCCCAGGCTTCTCTATTAGAAAAAGTTTGATATTTATCTAAGATATTTTCCTCCAGCAGCTGTGTCCTGAGTGGGTAGGGTGCTAACCCGGGGCTTTGGAGACCTAGCTTAAATGACCAAAATCCCCCCGTGACCATGGAGGACCTTTTGTGGCTCTGTGCCTCAGTCCCACACTTTCTTTTTAATGTGGGAAATATCCTCATGGCATCCCAGAAAGGTGGAAGTGCTAAGTACATTAAACCCAGTGAGGGGCTTAGCTGTTAATGGTAATAACCATGTTAGTGCCAAAGGCTGTGCCTGCCTCTCCTGGCTCTGCTGTTACTGTGCATGTCTGGCAGCTCCACAGCTAGATTTTATTAAACCACATTTTAGATGCAGACTCTCCAGTTGCCTCTTGATTTGATCAAACTCATGCTTGGAGGCCCCATCCTCAGTACCTCTGAGCCTTGCACATAACTCATCCATCTGTAGTTGGCCATGTCTCCTGGCTGGCTGTCCTACCAATGCTATTTCCACTTGGCTCTGCACCCAGTCCTTCCTAGCTCGGAGATCCCCGTGGCCGCGAGTAACCCAAGCAATCTGACCAGGGTGCAGAGTGGGAACTGGGAAGTCCTTACAACCAGCCCCTGGGCTAAGGATTAAAGGCTGAATCCTGAAGCCTTTGTGTGCAGCAGTCCTGCAGGATGACACCCCGCAAAGCTTCCCCCTGAAGTCAAAGCAGCAAGATTAACCCATTTTATGACTCTGGAGAACAAGGCCACTCCCAGATAATGCTCTTACGAGTGACTGCAGCTGAACAACATGTAAAATATTTTTTAGCTCTCTGGCTTTGGACTCTGATTCCTTTGTATATTTGATCAGGTATTATTAGGTGTCCAGGAGGCTGATGGATGACTCTGTGCAACGTGTAACTAAAGCAAAAGTAACCCAAGAGTTTTTGATGCGACTGAACTTACAGTGACTTCGTCAAAGTGAAGTTTAAAGCTTTTTCAGGTGGTGTTTTTTATGGCAGTCCCACAAATGAATCATGCTTTTAAACTGCTACTAGGTCTCTCGCTCTCCCCTTCCTTATTTTTTTTATCTCTGAGTTTATCTTCTGTTCATGGTTAGCTGCTGCATAACTGAATATTTCAGTTTCTCCAAAGTAAATGATAAATTGCTAAATGCTCATATGTATCACGTGTAGAATAAGGCTTTATGGAATTCCCAAATCGGAGGGAAGCATTTTCTGATCAAATAATGTTTTCTTAATATGCAAAATTTTTAAATAATATTAGCCTTGCACTGGAGCCAGGCAGTGGTATGTTTAGGGAGTCTCTTGCTGGCATGCCTGTGGGGCAGTGGAGGCAATACCTTTTTTTCCTTGAGCTGCTTGTGCCCTCAAACAGAGCAATTATTTCTATCCTAGAAAATCCAGAACAACTTCCTTTCTGGCTGGATGGGAGAATTTGGGGTGGAGGCTGTGAAAGGTATACACGCTCTGGAGAGCTTGAAGAGACACTGGATTTAAAATGACTTTCAACAACCTCCTCCATATTACAGTAACAGAAATAAATCACTGCCGAACAACTGGCCCCATCTGTGAGCGGCGGCTAGATAACTTTGCCTTCTTCAGTGGACCGCAGCTGCCCAATAAACGGGGCAAATATTTTAATTATTGACGATAGACTTTCTTGGTGAAGGGCTTATGGATTAACGTGATGATGGACCTGGAAGTTTTTGGATAGAATACAGCTGCTCTCTGTGATTCAGGCTCAGTTTCCACGTAGCGAACTAATGCATGTAGTTTTTTGGACAGATGTTGCAATAAGACTGGATTCCAGTATGCTTACGATTGCTATGGAGACCGTCGAGTACTGTAATTCTTTTGTTTTAGTAACTGCATTGTAACGGGGCTTTTTTTCCCCTAATGCTACAAATTTGTCATAAGGAGTGTTTTGGGGAAAAAAAAGAGCAAGCCACTGGGAATTGGACAGCTTAAGGGATGGGTAATAGGATATGGAGCCTTTTATTTCTAATCGCCAGTTTGAACGTAGGCCAAGCCACTCGTGACTGAAAGCTAGCCATTCTGTAACTATATGAAATGGGCTGGTATCCTCCAAACCCCAGATTCTGGTGGGCGAGTGGTCCTGTATGAAAAGCTACTACAACTGGCACGTCTGCAGTCATTCTTGAGAGAGACACGAGAGTTTAGAAACTGTACTACCAGTTGCTCTAGGTCTGTGTTGAAGTATACTGCTGGATGATGTGTGGTGGGGTGGCTCTGTGGACAAGTAGACCATTGAGGCACTGGGGATTGATCGGGAAATTTCAGGGACCTTTACATTCGCAGAAAGGAGCCCGAGTTAAGTCCATCCCCTCCTAAGGCTGAGTAGTTTTGCAGCAAGAAGGGGGGGTGGAGAGACCCTTTTTGGTTAGTGCTTTATAGGGAGCTGAGGTCAGTTTATCTGCAAACTTCACAACCAAAATGATCAGGATATTTACTTTAATCCATATGCATTGGAAGTGGGAAGAACATTCCTAAGCAACAAAATGTTCAGTGCAATAATTCACTTGCTGACCAGCACGGCAGCCTGAGAGCCCTGGACCACTCTTGCACCTTGAAGGTGTATCTGATTGCTTTGTGCCGATATTGGGTCATATTGATGGCAAATCAGTGGTTTGACCTGGGGGCTGCATCTTGTGCTATCTCTTCTAGGAATTTACTTTAAATCAGGGCTGTTCATCTGGCAGCCCCAGAGAGGTTAGCCGGTGGGCATCCAGGCACTGTTCCCCACCATTGCAGGAGAGGAGCAGCATGGCCCACAGAGTTCAGGGAGCCCATGGCGAGTGGGCTGAGCGGACCCCCCATGGGGTGGGGAAAAGGGTAATGCAGGGAGTCACTTGCTTTGCGCTGTGGCCCCGTGGGGTGCAGGCACAATGCAGTGGGAGTGCGGAGGGTGCCTGCTGTGCAGTGTAGGGAGGCGCAGGTGATGCAGGGAGAGCCTGGGATTGGTCTCCCCCTGCAGGGTCAATAAGGGTTTAGTGCATACAATTGAATC